CATAAATGGTAAAATGATTACTTAGGCTTTTATATATATAGATGTTTAAAAAGTGCAAAAAGGCAAAAAAAATTTTTTTGACATCAACCACACAGGGATGGACACTTTTAAAAAAGATATCAATCTGGAAGGCAATGCACCAAAGTAGTCAAGTGTTTTCGTTTTCAAACTTTAGATCCCAAGTTCTTACATCTGTGTTTCTCAGGTTTTGACTACTTGTCATCCTTTTTGATGTCACATTGCTCCCCTGGTATTATTTGAAACTTTAAAGCAAAGTACATATTATGACTAACATAGTAAACTACCATGATATTGAATATGCCTTTGCAAACAACACACCCTCTCCTGAACATTCGCTCAACAAACGGATCTATGTAGGTGTGGATAAGTACACAGACACACACACACACAGACACACACACACATCATCCCTCATACTTTAAGGCAGTGGTTCTCAACCTTCCTAACGCCGTGACCCTTTAATACAGTTCCTCATGTTGTGGTGACCCCAACCATAAAATTATTTTCGGTGCTACTTCATAACTGTAATTTTGCGACTGCTATGAATCATAATGTAAATATCTGATATGCAGGATGTATTTTCATTGTTACAAATTGAACATAATTAAAGGACAGTGATTAATCACAAAAACGATATGTAATTATATATGTGTTTTCTGATGGTCTTAGGCGACCCCTGCGAAAGGGTCATTCGACCCCCAAAGGGGTCGCGACCCACAGGTTGAGAACTGCTGCTTTAAGGGCTTGGGACCATTCAGCCAACCCGCTAGGCGGTAAGGCCCAGGCATGGGAGGGAATGAGACAACCTCCTTTAACTCTGATCCTGACATCCTCCAAAAATTTGCAGGCAGCATATGAAAAATGCTGTTTTCCTTTGACCACATTTGCAATGAACTGTCGGTTCTCCTGAGCGGGTTGGTAATCACTCACGTGCATCGACACAAATGCGTCTGCTCTCGTAAATGTGTCAAACATGCCCCTTGCCACCACATTTTACACTCTCATAAAGGTTTAGGACCAGACAGGCCCTTAGAAGTCACCTTATCCAAACTTCTCACTCAACCAACAAAGGAATTTTAATGCTCAGGTGACAAGATGAGATGCTAAGATCACACAGTGTGTTGCGTTGGAGCCCAGCTGTCTGGACCCCCTCGGAGCACAGTTTCATGACCTCACAGAGCTTCTGCAATTGTTGCTTGGAAAGCTCCTTCTCAGACTATAGTCTGAGAGATAAACTTAGTCTGCATGATCCAGAATTCCAACTGGGTAGAGTCTGAGTCCATGCCTTCTCACTGTACACATGAAACCGAACCGAGTATAATGGGGGAACATGCTGAGTGTGGAAAAAGAGCCACAAAAAACCAGCTCATATAACTCAGAGCCTAGCACACAGTAGGTGCTCCCCAGATATTTTGGGAAGGAGGAGAGGGAGAGAGGAAAGGAAAAGTGAAAAAAGGAAATTTCCAAAGCTGGCTGCAACTGCATTCAGACTTGGGGGTGGAGGGTTGTGGGGCTTCTCTGGGATAGTGAGGTACTCTTTAGTTCAAGAAAACATCTTAATGAGTTTCCCTTCAAGTTTATTTCACTTTTTTTATTTGTAAAAGGGGCCTCCTAATAGGCAAGGTTTGAAACAAAAGGAGTGAGACAAAGAAAGAGAAATTGTTCTGCCTCAGAAAGGAAAGGGTATGTGGAGGCCTTTTCCTGGCTGCTGGGAGAAGGGAAAAAAGGGAGTTTTGGGGACACTAAAAAGAACTTTTGGGAAAGGTAGTGGGTGTAGAGACCTGTGAGGAGATGAGAACCGTAGGACTGCTTGTATTTAGGCACTTCCTGTGCTTTCCTGCAAGCCACCACCCCTGGCCCGGTTACTACCCAAACCTCAGTAGCAATCGCTACTCATAAAACCCTAGGGTTAGAGATGCGTTGGGAGTGAGGAAAGGGGTGTCCAATGCAGAGGTGAGGAGAAGGGACAGAGAGGGGGCAGAGGCGCTGGAGATGAGGCACTGACTTGGGGGCACTGAGAACACAGCAGGAGTGTGGGAACGAGGCACGAAGTGCCCAGGAACAAGCCAGCCTCCCAGATGCACTGGCAGGGAGACCTGCTGGCTGCCCACAACATGTGGGCTGGGGGCTGGAGCCATCGGAGGTGCGCACTGAGCAAAGCTGTGACTCCAAAGTGCTGAAACTTTGGAGATACCTGAACAATGGAAAGGAAGAGAGAGAGAGAGAGAG